CCCCCCCCCCCCCCGAGAGGGACAACGGTGTGATGTCCCACCTGTCCCTGCCTGACCCTGCCATCCCTGTACTCCAGAGGCGTCACTTTGATTTACAGACCCACTAGCAGCAGGAAGAGCACAGTCAGGAAAAAGCTAATGGAGTGGAAATGCTGAGAGAGCAGGGGGAATTTGAATGGGGTAGTTTTTCTTTAAATGTTTAGTACAAGGGAAAAGAATAAAGAAGTGTTGAGTGTATTCCTGTTGTTTTCTTCTGTCTGCCATGACAGGCGCATGTTTTCTCTTTATTACAGCAAGTGTTTTTCTTCTTATTCTGGAGGAGTAAGTGGATTAGTTCTGACACCACGCTGTATTTTTATTCCTCTCTAGGAGGCAGACAGCTGGGAAATCATTGAGGGGCTGAAAATTGGTCAGAGCAACGTCCAGAGGCCTGATAAACACGAGGGGTTTATGTTGAAGAAGCGGAAATGGCCCCTGAAAGGCTGGCACAAGGTAAGATCCACACGCAGAGCGAGACACGAAGAGCTTTTGTCGCTGGAAAAACACTTTGAAGCACAGCCGCCCCCTTGAATGTAAAACAGTTTTCTATCTACTAAGGTGCTATTGCTAAAAAAAGTTCCCCTTTTCATGCATCTTTACCCTCTCTGGGCCTCTTCCGCAGGCATACTGGATATTTCCTTTGAAGTCACCACCTTCAGCATCAGCTTAACTGTTGTTTTCTCGAAACACTTGAATACCAGTGGAAACCAGTACCTGTTGTTAGCTTATTTGAACTCACAACACCACAGAACACGCATAGCCTTTGTCCTACTGCTTATTATAAGATACTAAATAATAATAATAATGATATTAAAAGGTCCAATGTGATCTATATTCAATGTCCGCCCTTCCTGTTATTTAACCAACACATTATTTTTGTGCTTATTTTCTCTGCAGCGTTTTTTTGTTCTGGACAATGGTATCCTGAAGTACTCCAAGTCCCCCATTGATGTAAGTAACCCTGACTATAACCCACAGGCAGAAACAGGGCAGCCTGGCCTGACATCAGCTTGGCTTGGTAATGAGTCAGCAGAAAAATCTGCAACACGGGTCATGATGTTCAATGTGTTTTAGCACGCCATGTCACTTTGCAGGAGAGCTAGAATTTTACAGATAAAATAGAAGTGTAACCCATCACTGTGAAGAAAACCAAAGGTCACTTTTACTTTGCTGTATGTATGGGTGCAGTAAGCCAAATAGTTGAGGAAGTACATTTTTAGAATATTTTTATGAAATGTGTGTTGCATCATAAGACGTACACTATTTCACATAAATAACCAAACAACAAAACAAATACTGCATATTACATCAGACATCACAAATAAGTGGCTACAGTGCAGTCAATGTAATCGTTCCCTTTTACATTCAGTGCTTACTCCACACAGGAACACTGAGGCCTACTTAGTACCTAAACTCTGATGTAACAGTTTGACAGACTCAGGAACTAAAGAGTTTTTTTAACCTATTCAATTGAGCCTGTGGGACAGTAAATCTCCTGTTTGATGGCAAAAGCAGATATTTTTCACATAAATTATTAGAGTGGTCTGATGTAATTTTACCAGCCAGAAGCAACTGCATCCTATTAGTATACACATTTTGAAAATTTGAGTCAAGCGTTTCACAATCTCAGATACGTAGTAGTCGAGCATTACACTGAACAGACACAAGTGTACCATGCTGCTTCCACAATGCACAACACTCTGTATTAAAACAATAACAGGATCAATTTGTTTGCTCCAAATCACTTTAGTCTGTTTTTGTACCTTGCTACTGATATAATCTATATGTGCACTCCAAAATAAAGTTGCATTCACATAGATGCCTAAATACTCATTGGAGGATAAGAGTTCCTCGGAAGACCAAAAATAATTTCTTGTGTCTTTTTTGGATTAATAATGAGCTAATTCTTTTCCTACCGCTCAATTAATCTCTCCGTACAATAGTGATGAATACTAGGAAACAATAAATGTATTTGACATGTTGAGTTTGTCTGTGTACACCACACCAACTGACCTAAGGTTTGCAGCTTGAGACCGTGAAGCCTTTTGAAGAACGCACATCCATCTAATGAAGAACGAGGCATTGGCAAAGCTTAAGCCCAATAATCAAAAGATGAGTTTCCTAACACAGTTCGTCATCATCATAAATCGTTTAAACAAAGGAACACATCGCCAACAACGCTGGGGCGCTCGAACCACACCGACCCTGAGATTGAAGGAGTCTCATGTCTACCGACTGAACTAGCCGGAGAACTGTTATTAAATTCGTGCACTTAATGGATCCGGATTTCGCGGCTGCTTTAACTCTTAATTAGACTCAGAAGGCGATAGGGTTAGAGGTTGTCTGGTTACTGGGCTCGACTCTACTATCTACACCCTGACACACCCCAAAATATATATAAAGAAGACCATCGGTAGTTGTCTATTGCTACTCTACGGGATTATACCCACCCTGGTTTTATGAGTCAAACTACTGTCAGGGCAACGTGGGATTTGAAAACCCAACGCCTTCCCTTGTAGTTAGAACACCGAAATTCCCTTTGGCTACCGGAAGGAGTTCAATCATTGCAGTTTCTTGGCGCTCACCTATAGACCAACGTCGGACAACTCTCTCACAATCTCACCATGATTCTAACACCTCGCTCCCGTTCTCGCAGCTGAACATTCACATTATTTTTCACGGAAAGTCACAAAAGTTGATAGGTTTTTCCAGATTTTTATATGAGTATTGAAAATAGCTGTTTCCCTTAGACGTGGAAACACATCTAGCTATTTCTTTTCTTGGACAGCTTTCAAAGCCGGCTGGTTATTACATTGCAGTTACCACTGATGGCCTCTTGTGAACCCAGGGGCAGCATTTGGACAAGGTAAGAAGATGGTGGTTTAGAGTAGCTTCATAACCATTGAGCTCAACTATGTTGTCACAGTGGGGCTTTTTTGAAAGGCAGCATCCGAGTCCATGAGTCAACTGGACACACACATGGGATAGGTTGTTTTGGTAGTGTGGACATTCTATATAGTTACACCACGAAGAAGCAGGTGCGCCCCAATCGTGGGGCTCGACACCCTACGACCCTGGAGATTATGAGTCTCATGCTCTATTCCCGAAATCTCTAGCCGGGCTGTACAGAGTGGTCATAATGGATTAGATTTCGGGGCTACATTAATTCTCAAATGATAGGTTTCCAGGTTTATGTGTGACTTGAAAGGTGTATAACAAAACTAAGCTATTTATCATTGAGAGCTTTCAAAGCAGCATCACATCACAAATGAAAATTGTCTTTTTGAGGGCCTCTCTTTTTGAGGGCCTCTCTGAAACACAAGTGAAGCTCTAATTTAGGGACGGTGGAAAATGAGTGAGTTACTATGTCATCCACAAGCTCCTTTGCCTCAATGGGGTTTGAACCTTTTAAAGCAACATCATCTGGAAAGGCGTTGCAGTAGCCAATCAAATGAGTTGAGTTCCGGAACAAATGCTAGATTTTTTTTTAATGTGAACGTCATTTTTAGTGTTTACCAAAGAACATATGACCCTGAGCTATTCACTGAGCTAGCCGGGCATAAATCAAGCATAATGGATGTGAATTCGGGCCGCATTAACTCGCATGGACACAGACAGGTGGAGGTTTGGAGGTTTTGATTACTGGCTTGACTGTACTCACACCGCACCAAAGACTATAGTAGGTCGTCATGCTACAGGGATAGATCCTGTAGGTAAAAAAAAATTGTCAGGAGTGGGATTTGAACCCACGCCTCCATTTGGAGACAAGAAGGTCCCTTTGCAAGGGAAGAGTCTATTCTTGACGTCTTTTGGCGCCTATTAGACCGCTCGGCCATCCTGACACAGGACAAAGCTGTCAGACAAAATCATCTGTGTCTAAAATCTTCATTGTGAGTGTCATGATCAGATGGCTGCGCTCTAGTTGTAAATGTAATTATGCATGTGTGCACAAAAATGACAAACTGAATTGACCAACTGTAAGTTTGAGTAAACTAAAAAAATATATTTGTCTCACTTGCCTTAGATCCAAAAAGGCAAACTTCATGGCAGTATCGACGTCGGCCTCTCAGTCATGTCCATCAAGAAGAGGGCCCGTCGCATCGACCTGGACACTGAGGAGCATATCTATCACCTGAAGGTAACACTGATGGGAAGAGTCATTAATGTGATTTCAACTTTGATAAACAGAAGGTCAGCAGATGAAAGAGTTTGAAGCTATCTGCCCTCTACCTCTTTAGGTCAAATCTCAAGACATCTTTGATGCCTGGGTGTCGAAGTTGCGTCATCATCGGCTTTACCGCCAGAACGAAATTGTGCGATCTCCCAGAGAGGCCACTATGCGAACATTTCCTCCCCCAGCTGCCATTGAGTCCCCCCAACCTGCCTCGAGTGTGGTTCGTGAAGCCAAGGTGAGCCCTCCTACCCCCTCATAATACTACAAATTGTGTTCATAAGTGGGGTCGGAAAACAGAAAAATCATCACATTCGAGAAGCTAGACACTAACTAGAAACTAGACACTATTTGACATTTTTGCTTAAGATTTTTTTTTAAATGACTAATTATCTGAGTTATTGCAGATACATTTTCTGTTCAGACATTAGCTGAAAAACTAAAACATAACATTACAGATTTTATGTTTTGTACGTTTTTCATACTAATGTATCAAGCCTAAAAGAAGTCTCTCTCTGTTTCTCTGTGCTCTGGGCAGAGTGCAGT